TACATATTAATCCTGTATAGTGTAAATATGTTACTTATTCTAGTAGCATACTCTTCCTTTCACACATACTGTCTTGCGGATTCCACACTTAATTCCAAATTCATGCAACTGAAAGTAGGCTGTCATGACTAACACTGTGTCTTCTTTTTGCGGTTGTTCCTATTTGGTCTTCAAAATGTGTTTTATCCAGTATGTGTGTTCCTGCCGCAGTCGTGTTTGTAGCTAGAAAATCCAGTCATTCGTTCCTTCGCACTTCTGCATGCCCTGGACAGTATATTTCATCAACGATGGTTATGAATAGCATAAATGAGACAGGAGACTTGGCAAGGGAACAAAAGCCTTTCTGGCAGTCTGTGGTGCAACAATGTCCTTAAAGGGCTTATTTGTACTGTATGATGCAGACTGTTGGTTCCTCGCTTCTCGGGCAGATAACTTCAACTTCAAAGGCAATCCCTCATTAGTAGACTCTCAAGACATACTTGTTAAGAGAAGTTGGTTTATTCCATCCCCTCCCCTCATCCCCAGAATGGGTCTCTGGAACCCACACGTGACACAGAAAAGATATGTTACAGTGTGTACAATTAATTCAGCTTTTGAATAACCTAAAACTAATGAAAATGTCTTCTAAAATTGAATGAAAAATAATTATTTTTTTCTTTTTCTTTCGTTTGCTTGAAATAGATTATCTATATCTGTAATGCTGTCTCCAGTATGAGCTTCATTGTCTTTTGTAATTCACTCAGCGACCCGTAAAGTTTGACTTGCACCAATGTTTCTCTTGGACAAAAGTTCGACCTTGATATGTTGTATTATTGTATATATTCTTTATTTGGCTATCCTCCAAATAATGGGCACATATTATGGCGGCAGCAAAAACACTTTAACAGGGCCTCAGTCACATGTCAATTGCGAACTTCCGAAGACTTAATTTGCAGACTTCTGGCGACTACCGCCACCGCCGAGAGTATCCCCCATGCCGCTCATGCGGCGTGGATTGGGGCTAAACTAGATGGATGGGACTCACGAGCAGTAGCTTCCGTATCTCCTGCAGCTTTTCTTGTGAGTCCCAGCCTAGTTAAGCTCCAATCCACGCCGTGTTAGCGGCGTGGGGGATACATTCAGGGGTGGCGGTAGCCACAGGAAGTTCGCAAATTAAGTACATGTAACTGAGGCCCTGTTTTTGGCCGCTATAATATAGCGCCTATAGTTTCGGAAATTTGCGATCTTTTCGACAATTTCCATTACCATGGAAACCGTTTGAAACTTGTTTTGGAAATGTCGGCTGGGGTTTCGGGATGGGTCATAATCTCTCATAAAATTGGGATTGTTGTGATTTTCACCCACTCTAAATGGCTGAAAACAGCGGGAAGGAACCCGATTAACAGCGCATGTCTACGACAGCCGGATGTCCTCTGTTTTTCTGTTACATCAGTTTGATTGAAAATAGCGATAAGTTTTTCAGGTTGGCTTTAGGCTTTAACTGTTACTCGTCCTGGTAATGCTAGTTATAATTGAATTCTACGTCCAATTTTACATTTGTGTACAAAATTTCTTACTGAACGGTGGCTTGGTAGATGTACAGTGACATTTTTCAGGCAATCGCTGGCTCAGCCAGTGGCTGAGTCTCATTGCCTGCCATCTTGTCCAATGACAGTCCAATTTCAACAAAGCCGATACAGAACTGCACAGTAGGTTGCGCAGAGAAAAACTTCTTGTTTGTGGGTCACAAGTTTTAGCGGCTGTTTCTTACATCTCATCTCCACAAAAACCGACATATCTCAGTCTCAGCTCAGAAATGACATACAAGCCTAAATGAGGTACCATTGGAAAGAGATTGCTTACAGCTATCTAACTGTGCTGGTTTTATTGGCGTAGAGGGCATTTTAAAAATTTGACTGAAGTAGCTATATAATATGCCGTTATTCGGAGGAAAGCCTTTTTTTTTTTATTTTATGATAAAAACCTAGGTCTAGAACCAGAAGTAAGTAGCATAACTTACCATTCGAATATGATGCTTGTAATAAGCCTGCGCTTCGGTCGGAAGCTGTCGAGTGCATTTGAGAAGGTACTTGTACAACTGCACTGGCGTCTTATTGGACATGGTTCAAAGCGAGCGCTCTGCTGGCTCCAATATCCCAAACGTTGGTCTGTAGTCTTGGCTGTCCGTGTTTACAAGATCAAAGCCATTTGTGGAAGATGTCCGTGGGACTTATCTGCTCTTGAAGCTGATTTGTTTAGTTTCGTATTTCTCATACATAATCCATCCAGAAATTTCCTACATTGTTTCTGTTCTTTTAATAATTGAAACTGATTGGCGGAAAATGATTAAATGTAATATTTAAAGAAAGCTATGTCAATTACAACGGAAAAGAAAGGCCAGCAGTGAACATCATTGTTTACGACAGGATACTAGAACAAGCAACAAGTTTCTAATATTGTTGATGTAATCTTAAATTAAATGATAGCAGAAGTTAACTGAAAATAAAGAAGACACGGTCAGGTACAAGTGGGATGCCGGTTTTGGTATACTCTGCAACACGATAACAATAACATGAGTAGAAAGATACCCAACTCTAAAAACGAGAAAAATTAGCTATACTCACATATAACACTGCCTTCGTGAGTTTCATATTTTGTTTGTTCACACTGCAAGGTTCACTACCATACAACACATATAAAGGCGACGACAGTCCTATAGCAGGAACAACCGATAAGGTGTGACGTGTTAGGACTTCACATATGAGGTGGGAAATGGTCAGAGCTAACACAGATCCGTTTTATTTTTGCTAGGGCACGCAGTTGTGCAAGGAAAGGAGCAGGCTGATAGGCTTGAAGGTGAAGGGCGGACGAGACACAGACCAGGCTAGTATACTGAATGCACTACGAGAAGTAAAACGTTTGTGAGAACTAAGTGTCTGAATCTTCAGCCAAAGTCCGACTGCAGCAAAAGCAAGTTTACACGGGTGTGGCCACTACACAGAAAGCAGAAGAAGAATAAGAAACCAACATAGAACTGGTGTCGTCAGCCGTTAGACGCTGTGGGATTTACAGAGGAGGGAATTCGAGCACCTGTGGAATGAATGGTGCAATTAGGATAATCTGTGGACTATCTAATTATGTGAGATGGAGAAGCCAGTTCCCTTCTTTGTAGCAATTCCTACTTAGAAAATTATAAAACATCTACGTATCCATGATACAGGACAGGACAATGACTGGAGGGAGGGGGGGGGCACATTGTATGTGGGAATTGAACCAAGATCTTTGGTGTGGCACTGTGTGAACTATTTATTTAAATATAATATTTTAGATGATTTGTCATTCTACTTTACTTACTTTACTTTACTTTTACTTTTTCCTTCCACGTATGCCGCTAAGCGTTGTGGGGAGATGCAAGTTCCTGTCATAAGCAAGGCGGGCAGCATCTGATGTTCTGAGGCCATGCTTTTGGCAGGTTTCGGAGACCCCGTCAATCCACGGTTTCCTTGGTCTTCCTCTTGCCTTATATCCTGAGCTTCTTTGGTTGAAAATTTGCGCTGTTATTTGATCATTTTTCATCCTGGTTAGGTGTCCAAACCATTTCATTCTTTGATGTTCTATGTAGTCTAAACATGGCGTAGTTTTGACAGTGTTTCTAATGTCTATATTCTTTATCCTGTCTAGTCTGGTCTTATTCGCTGCTTTTCTTAGACATTTCATTTCACAGGCTTCTATTTTTCTTTCATGGGTCTTGTTGATTGTCCATGTTTGGCACTGGTAGCAGAGTGTTGGAATGAAGATGGTGTTTATCAATTGTCTTTTGGTCTTCATGGTTATATCTGGATGTTTAAGCAGAGGTGATAGTTGGTATGTGACAGCATTCGCTTTCTGTATTCTTGTTTCTATCTCTCTGTCCATTCTTCCATCCTCTGTAAATATACTGCCCAAGTATTTGAACTCTTTGGTTTGCTTGATTTTGGCACTTCCAACATTTATATTCAGTGGCCTGTGTGTTCTGCTGATCTTCATAACTTCTGTTTTTTCTGTACTGATTCTCATATTATGTTGTAAACAGCTGTTGTTGAGAGTAGTCAGATGTTCCTGTAGATCATATTCATTTTGATACAGTATGCTTTGATCATCAGCAAAAAGTAATTCGTTTATAGCATACACGTCTGGGTTTGCTTCTACAGTGATCTTATCCATATATGTTATGAAAAGTAATGGTGACAGTACACATCCTTGTCTGACACCAGTTGTGACTTTGAACCATTCAGAAAGACCACTAGATGTTCTTACTGCACTTTCACTTTTTTCATAGAGGGCTCTGATGTTGTCTAATAATTGACCCTGCACTCCGTAATCGTCAAGAATTCTCCACAGCACATCTCTGCCTGCACGGTCGAATGCCTTCTCTTGATCTACAAAGACCACGTTCAGCTCTTTATCGTATTCGAGTGTCTTTTCACAGGCTTGTCTTAGTGCAAATATGGCATCAGTGCAACCTCGCCCTTTCCTGAAACCGAATTGTGCTTTACTCAGTAGAGGTTCAACCTTTGCTCTTATCCTACCTTCTAAGATCTTTGCATACATTTTCCCCACATGACTTAGTAAAGATATTCCTCTATAAGTTCCACATTCTCTCTTGTTTCCTTTTTTCTTCCAGATAGGTACTACAACTGATCTTTGCCAATCCACTGGTACCTTTCTCTCTGCCCATGCTCTATTGAAAATTCTCTCCAGCCAGGTCATTCTACAATGCGTCGAAACTACGGCTACAAACGGGAAATAAAAAAAGCAACAAGATGGCGATGTAAACAAGAACACATGGAACTTTCTCGCCGTGTTCTACATCAATGATTGTTTCTTTTGTCCATTTTTCATAATAGAGGTTATTTTATTTTTTACGCAGACATTTATCCGATATTTGTGTGTTAATAATTAACTATAAACCACTTGACTGCTCAAAAAGTGCAATAACTACTCAGCGGAACAGCTGAAAGTGAAAGGTGGGAACAGGAAACATGGCTTTTGATGCGGCAACTAAGGAACATTTGGAGAAAGAACTTCTCCCTTTTCTATCTAAGGAAGCTAGGGAGGATGTCAAGTCGATCGCTGTTCGATATTTCCTGGAAATGACCGGCACAGAGGAAGGGAAAGACTTTATTTCTGAAGGAAATGCTTTCATCCCCGCCATCATGTCGCTGACATCGGACCAGGATCAGGACGTGGCTAGAGACAGTTACCTAGCCCTCGTCAATTTATCCTCGGATGACGCTATTGCCTGGAAGCTTATGCATATAAATGGTGGCTTAGAATTTATGCTGGAAGTTTTACAGCGGGTGTTAAAGCCGGATTTCGCACTAGCTGATGAAGCCTCTAGCATTATTGCTAATGTTACTCGTTTGCCAGATTGTGCTAAGGCACTTGCTGAACATATTTTATCAGACAATGCAACAGTCACATTAGAGAAGATAGTCAATGCCTTGTGCCAGATTAATTTTAACAAGAAAGCCACACTGAATTATTTGAGTCTTATTTTGTCCAATTTGACTCAAGTTCCTAATATTAGAAGAATAATCATGGACAAGGATCGGTGTATAATTCAGAAACTGTTGCCTTTCACGGATTACGCTGAATCGGTCAAGAGGAGATGTGGGATCGTTGGAGCTCTCAAAAACTGCTGCTTTGAATATGGTAGGTCATCTTATCTGCTGGACATTCTTATCAACATATTTGCGGTCCTGTGTAAAACATTGTTTTTTACTTGTTAATCAACATAGAACTGGTACTATTAGCCATCGGACGTTGGGATTCATACTGAGGGGAGGATCTGAGCACCTATGGACATGTCCGGAGTGCAATGATGATAACCCAACTAACTAACTAACTAACTAACATTGTTTTTGTCACAGTACACAGAAAAAGTCGCTCTTGTGTCCATATGACTATACCTTCATGTTCATTTTGAACTTTGAATCCAGTATCGTGTGTCCATATGACTGTACCTTCACGTTCAGTGTGAATCCAGTATCTTGTGTCCATATGACTATACCTTCATGTTCATTTTGAACTTTGAATCCAGTATCTTGTGTCCATATGACTATACCGTCATGTTCATTTTGAACTTTGAATCCAGTATCTTGTGTCCATATGACTATACCTTCATGTTCATTTTGAACTTTGAATCCAGTATCTTGTGTCCATATCACTATACCTTCATGTTCATTTTGAACTTTGAATCCAGTATCTTGTGTCCATATGACTATTATACCTTCATGTTCATTTTGAACTTTGAATCCAGTATCGTGTGTCCATATGACTGTACCTTCATGTTCAGTGTGAATCCAGTATCTTGTGTCCATATGACTATACCTTCATGTTCATTTTGAACTTTGAATCCAGTATCTTGTGTCCATATGACTATACCTTCATGTTAAGTGTGAATCCAGTATCGTGTGTCCATATGACTGTACCTTCATGTTCAGTGTGAATCCAGTATCTTGTGTCCATATGACTATACCTTCATGTTCATTTTGAACTTTGAATCCAGTATCTTGTGTCCATATGACTATACCTTCATATTCAGTGTGAATCCAGTATCGTGTGTCCATATGACTATACCTTCATGTTCAGTGTGAATCCAGTATCTTGTGTCCATATGACTACCTTCATGTTCGGTGTGAATCCAGTATCTTGTGTCCATATGACTATACCTTCATGTTCAGTTTGAATCCAGTATCTTGTGTCCATGTGACTATACCTTCATATTCATTTTGAATCCAGTATCTTGTGTCCATATGACTATACCTTCATGTTCAGTGTGAATCTTGTGTCCATATGACTATACCTTCATGTTCAGTGTGAATCTTGTGTCCATATGACTTTACCTTCATGTTCAGTGTGAATCTTGTGTCCATATGACTTTACCTTCATGTTCAGTGTGAATCTTGTGTCCATATGACTGAACCTTCATGTTCAGTGTGAATCCAGTATCTTTTGAAGCATTAAAAGAATAGCAGTTTCGTTTTCATTTGGGGACAGCAGGTTCTAGTCCTGCTGTGGTAATTACAGTTTTTGATTTTGATGTCTGATTTGCCCTTCTGTCACAGAGCGGAAGACACATCTAACTAATTCTGAAGCCCTTTTTCTTTTTCAGTAGGCAGCGTAAATGGGGGGGGGGGGGAATGAAATAAAGATAAATTTGAAAATCTGGACATCAGAAAATATTGAGTGGCTTCAGTGATCAGGTGGCCTATATTATCCTATGTCGTAAGGTATATGTTCGATTCTTTAGTTGTTGTAGTAGGTGAAAAATAAACTGTGTGACCATTGATAGTGAAACTCTGCGCTGGTTGCTGAAGATGGCGACGAAGTACTTATGAGAATGCCACTTGTTGTGTGATGTGGGTTCTTGACATAAGTAAACTGAAGCCTGAACACAGCTTGAGCAAACAGACTTAATGATATAATGAAAAAAAACCTTCTAGGAAGGATACTGCCAAACAACAGCAACGGTATGAATGTGGACATTATTGTTGTCGGGATGATGTATCCAAGCCATTACCTACTGCCTCCGTCTAATATCCAGACTCGTGAACCTTCTGCTCCTTACCCCACCCATGTTGATTCTTAGTGTGATCCCTGCCCTTCGTGCCTCTGTATATTAATTAAAGCTACTGATAAATCCTCACTGGATGAACGGTAATGTTATTGTTTGTTTCCCTCAGACTACCACAGCTGGCTGAATGAGAGTTAATGTTATTGTTTGTTTCCCTCAGACTACCACAGCTGGCTGAATGAGAGTTAATGTTATTGTTTGTTTCCCTCAGACTACCACAGCTGGCTGAATGAGAGTTAATGTGATTGTTTGTTTCCCTCAGACTACCACAGCTGGCTGAATGAGAGGTAATGTGATTGTTTGTTTCCCTCAGACTACCACAGCTGGCTGAATGAGAGGTAATGTGATTGTTTGTTTCCCTCAGACTACCACAGCTGGCTGAATGAGAGCTAATGTGATTGTTTGTTTCCCTCAGACTACCACAGCTGGCTGTTGAGTGAAGACGTTGACATCCTGTCCAAGCTGTTGCTGCCTCTGGCTGGAGGAGAGGAGTTTGATGAGGATGAGATGGAGAAGCTGCCTCTAGATCTTCAGTATTTGCCACCTGACAAGAAAAGAGAGGAGGACAGTGAGATTCGAACTATGCTTATCGATGCTATCACTCAGGTCAGCATTGGGCTATCTCACTTTCTTGCTTCCTTTCTATCTCTTTATCTTGCGGCCTCTTGTTCACTGTTTGTGTGTCCATTAAATTACTAGTCCGCTTACCTAATCTGGGTTGAAACCCTCATCAAGGTGGACCCAGCCTAAAGTGAGTGCCAGGTATGTCATGGGAAGTAAAGGCAGCCAGTTTAATGTTGATCACCTCACCCACTGTGGTCAACTAATATATCAGTCTGCCATCATATGCCCAGTGAATGCATCACTGACATAAAGTGTCCTCGGCTTTTGTTGACTGACCTACTCATCTGTCTACCTCCGGGTCTGTCTCTCTTTATCCCTCGGGTCTGTCTCTCTGTATCCCCTGGGTCTGTCTCTCTTTATCCCCTGGGTCTGTCTCTCCTCATCCCCCTGGTCTGTCTCTCCTCATCCCTGTTAATCTGTTATGATCCTACGTATGATGTTGGGATATTTATTTGTCCATCGACTCAGTTGGGGCTGTGGGGATATCATGGATAGTGTGCAGTCTAGGGATGTGAACATTCAAATTAGTTGAGCTTGAGGATTGAGTGCTGCATGGCTGGTACAGTCATCCTCAACTGCAGGTTGGAATTTTATTGTTTACCCCCTGTCCAATTTTTTTGTCATCGATAGTTCGAACTCGGGTCTCCAAAATAAGAGCCCAACATTCTTATTCACTCAGCCAGTCCCTTCACAAACAGCTACCTATAAATAGCCAGTTACAAACTGCTATAAGAATAAGACAAAACAAACAAGAGAAAGTATCAGAGATGTGGTACAGCCAGCCTTTATTGTGAAGACAGCATTTCTTCTTCTCTGTTCACCTGCTGTAAAACTCTGGCAGATAGTCCTGGTTGTTCGTCCATTCGGACTTTGGCATCGTGCCATGATCTTTGCATATACTTTACTGGCTTTTTTTGTGTGGTTGGTTGTTCCTTGCCGCTTTGGCGGTTACACTCCAGCTTTCTTCTTCTTCGCATTCACCAGCTGTAAACTCTGGTGTAAAGTTCTGGTTGTTCGTCCACTTCTGGACTGCAGTCCTGTTCCAGAACCTGAGTGTTGCGTGTGCATCAGTTTTACAGATCTGATTCAATTGAATGCAGACTGCTGGTTCCTTGCCTCTCAGGCAGATGCACTCCGACTTCAAAGGAAGCTCCCCAGTTAGTCGACTCTTACGACATGCTTTTGGGGAGGCAGTGGGTCTATTCTTGTTTTCCCCACAATAGGGCCCCGGAACCCACACGGGGGACTCCAGCTTTGAAAGAAGCGTCCAATTAGTCGACTGCTACGACATGCTTGGGAGCCGCCGTGGTCTAGCGGCTAGATGCTCACCTGGTGATCAGACAGTAGTGGGTTTGGGTCGTGACAGGGGCAGGACTTTTTCAAATAATGACCTTGGCTTCCAGATGGACCCAGCCTTGAGTGAGACCAGGTACAGTCCTGGAAAGTAAAGGTGGCCGGTGTGATGCTGAAGTCATCATTCACCAAATGCCACTTGGTCTCTAAAATATAGGTCTAGCCCTATTTAACCAGTACGCCTGTAGGCGTAGAAAGGGGTCCTTTACTTTTACGACACGCTTGCTGGGAAGGCAACAATTAAATTATTTAGCATTATATTTTTAGTTTCTAGTTTTTTTTAAAGTGATGTTAATTAATTTCTGTGCATAAACATTTCAGCTGTGCAGTACCAAACAGGGACGTTTGCTTGTGAAGGAGAAGAATGCCTATGTGATCCTTCGAGAACTGCACAAATGGGAGAAGGACCCCAAGGCAAAGTTGGCCTGCCAGAAACTCTGTGAACTGCTGATTTCTGACGAGCCAGAGCAAGGAATGGAAGACCTACATAAAGTGGAAGTTCCTGGCCACTTGGTAGAGAAATTTGATAAGCTGGACGAGGATCTACTTAATGACCTGGCAGAGGAGCTGCAACTGACTGAGAAGAAAGAAGCACCAGAACAGCCGCAGTAGCAGAAATGTTGGTCTTTAAACAATTGAATATGCATTTCATTTGAGAAAAGTTTTAAAAAGTTTCATTTAGACTGCTAAAAAATAGTGGATCAGTTGAGGGGGAGCTTGTTTTAAGTGTGCCAGATAAAACAGTGGCAAATATTGAGGTATAAAATTGTCCTTTATAGTTTTTAGGAGAAACTGTATGTTGACAAATGTTTCGCAGTCCTGTTTTGTGTCAGTAAACTACTGATGATCCATTGAAACTACTTGCTGTATGATGATTTTGATGTGAAAATAAAATGTATTCTGAATTTATACTGCTTGTCTTTGTTACAGGATGTCCTGTCTGCCTGTGTCATTTGTCTATCCTCAGTCACTGTTTGTGGTTGGTCCTAGGATTAGTAGTATACTTTTGGAGTCTGTGGGCAGCTTCTTGCTTTATTTTAGGGTCTTTGCAGCTGTTGTGCTCAGTCACAACCAGGGCATTTTTTTCAGACAAATACAGGTGGTGTGACAGTTTTATTAACAGGTGTTCACTGAAGTGATGTGACAGTTTTATTAACAGGTGTTCACTGAAGTGATGTGACAGTTTTATTGAACAGATGTTCACTGAAGTGATGTGACAGTTTTTTTTAACAGATGTTCACTCAAGTTGTGTGACAGTTTTATTTTTCATGTGTTCACTCAGGTGGCGGCAGAGACTGAAACGTATGTACTGACATGACAATATAGAAGATATGAAACATCATACATGAGATTTGATCACATGTCATCTACTTAGCACATTGGATTTTAAACATACATACTGTCTCACCAATACAAAATAGTTGAATCATCCGCACAAGTGAACACAGAATAGGAGATGAAAACCCTAACCCGTCCTGACTACAGGACATCTACGCCAGTAACCTTCACCAGTCTCTGACAGGACAACAGGAGCCTCTTTTGGCAGCGGTGAAACATTGCAAGTTAGTCTGGTTCGTGCACGTGGTGAGACATGATTTGATTGCTAAGACTACTTTAAGGAACATTGGGGTTAGTCAAAGGGGGGGGGGGGGGGCTGGAATGACAAAATCAAGAAATAGAACTAAATTAGGGTACACTTGTTCAACAAGCGGAAGGTTAGTTGTGTTATATAATGTTTTTGACTGGTGGATACTAGAATACATGTAGCGTTGGAGATACTTGCCAACTGCGGTTGTAGAGGACAATCCAAACACAATGATTGAGTCACTGCATTAGGATGTGGATTACAGAAGATAGAGTAATAATGCTGTAGCAATGCAACGAATGTTAGCTTTCCATACTACATCTTACATAGACAATGGCGGGTATATTATAGCCCTGTTTATTCTAACGTAGCACCATTTTATTTCCACTTAGACGCTCAAATGCCTCTTTTCCAGCAAACAGAAAATGATTAATAGCATCTTCATCCTTACTTTATTCTGTCAGTGCCAGACATGAATAGGGCACTAGAACATACAATTTTCTGTAAAAATATGCTGTCTTTGTAAGGTCACTAACAACACAAGAAAAAACATGGTTACAAAAACCAGCAACACTTAATATAAGACCGTGTCTGGACTATACTGATAAATAATGAATTGATTTGGCTGTCTAATGAAAATGCAGCCAAACCAAACTGCAAATGAGATTCTTACAGCAGAATATCTGGGAGGAAGACGAGTGGAAGACCAAGAAAGAGATCAATAAATGGTGGAGCTGAAACCAGCAAACAGATGAAGAAATCTACTATGCAAGTCACCCGAGAAGCGCTAGACAAATAAAGAAAACCACGACACTAGGCTACAACCTGGTATCAGAGCCATCAGGACATAGAATGCAAAGAAATATGAGTTCTGTCCAGTTGTGGAGACAGAGAGAACTGTTTGGACTTTGTGCCAGAGTAGTATGCTAGCAAAGCATACTTGAATAGTACTTGTGTTTCAGGTGCAAACTTTGTTGGTCACAGTCATTAAGTGGTTGACTGAGAACTGGTCGTACGTTGTGCCGGTATTTATTGAGAAAATTAGTTATTAGTTTTACGAGAGCAACCGAGAGACTATTTGTTCATCTTACATCACCAATTCATCGTCATATGTTTGTCCATATTAAACAAGACTGATGTGATGGCATTAGTAGGTGATACCTCGAGTTATTTATGACAGTTGTAAACAGTTGTATTGATAGCAGATACAGCCATGAAATTGCAACAACATCTAACATCCATGAATGAAGAATGTAAAACAAATAATATGAGAATCAACACTGAAAAGACAGAAGTAATGTCAATAGGAAAAAAGAAGACGGATCTAAACATAGCAATAGAGTGCAAAGGCATTAAACAGGCATCTTAGTTTAAATATCTGGGAACTACATTTACCGAAGATGGGAAATTGGATAAAGAAATTGACATTAGATGCAGTAAAGCAAACCAAGTATTGGGACAGCTAGCCCCCCTCTTACAGCATAAGACAATCCCAATCAGCACAGACATCTTATTCAAAGCATATTTATTCCAACTCTGTGCTACCAGTGCCAGACATGGTCACTCACAACAAACCATAAAAGAAAATTAGTAACCACGGAAATGAGATGTCTGAGAAGGGCTGTAGGAGTGACCATAAGAGATAAGATCAGGAATGAGATCATAAGAGAACAAGTCGGCACAGAACCAATTCTGGATTACATACAAAGACAGCAAGTGAAATGGTTTGCCCACTTAGAGAGAATGCCTTGTGACACCATACCATACAAAGCATACATGGAAAGAGAAGAAGGAGGTAGAGCACGGGGTAGACCAAGAACAAGATGGAAGGATAACATCAGAGAAACTCTACAACAGCACGATGTGTCTATGGTCGAGGCAGCCAGCAGAGCTAGAAACAGAACCTTATATCTCCCTCGACACCCACAGCGGTAAAAGAGGAAGTGAAGAAGAAGAAGTAAACAGTTACTGTTTCTCAGAGACTTAACTGGTGAAAGACCCAGAAAGGAATGACCTCACATAAAACCAAGACGCTTGGTAGTTGGTGAAATAGTGTATAAGCGGTGTGATATGGCAACCTAGCACCCAACAATGATATTGGCGCCAAGCCGCTCCATGTTTTGTTCCTTCTTGGTCATGGTCATGTGTGTGCGCCCTGAATAAACAACGCCGATTACCTGAATAGCGACAGTCAAATGGGACACAAGCCGTTCCCGCTTTTGTTTCTTTTGGGATATCGTCAGTCTCTATGCTCCGGCAGTGATCACCATCAGCATGAGCCATGCCAAGCAAAAGGGGCAGCTATGGTTCATTGTTGATGTGCGGAACTATGATACCTTGGATGCTTTAATCGTGTCACAGCAGCAAAGGAGCATATTGTACTGTGAATAAAACTGTTTCTTTAGTACTGTTCATTGGGTTTACAGTACTGGCACTGTAACCTGTAGACCTGGCTTTAGCTCCAAGTACTTCACAACAATGAAATGGAGAACAATGAGATTCTTTTGTACACCATGAATGAGAAGAGTGAGGCAGTCACTTAGGTGAATTTAAGAATCTGTGCAAATGAATTCTGGGGACTGCTGAGTTGAATTCCAGGGTTGTACGTTGGACTCAGCATACAATATAAATATACAGCAACATACAACACAAATATATTCATAGGAACATAGCATAAATACAAACATATTCATGAAACATGTACTTCCACATTCTTCTTCTTCTTAAAGTCCATGCTGTTTGGTGTGGGTTCATGTCTGTCCAAAACCTTTTGTCCTGTGTACTTTCAATCAGCTGTGACACAGATGATCTTATATGCCATGTATTTAAACTGCCCAGCATCTGTTCTCCCAACATCCCTCTGCTCCAACTTTCTTATCATCTCAATGTACTCCAGTTTTCTCCTCATCACATGACCAAAGAATGTAGATTGTCTCTTTGTGATGTGGGCAATCAGTTATCTTCAACATTCAACCCAAACATATTCATGGCATTAATGAAATGACTCAAAGACATAGTTTACAAATATGCACAATATACAAATTTATTTAAACTCAGTTTTTATTTTTGAGAAAAAACATGTGCTGTAATACAAAATTATAACATCACATTGGTTCCAAATTACAAATATCTTTTCTTGGACATGACATTCAATGGTAAAGCTAAATACTCAACAATACCAGAGTCAAATGTTTCTGAAATTAACTGAAGAAAAATGGCAGGAAAATAAATGGACAGGTCCTTTTCTTTGCACATGGTGGGTAAAGTGGTCAACATCACGCTGACCTCCTTCCCAGAAATGTACCTTGTGCATATTTAAGGCTGTGTTGACCTGGAAGCCAAACTTCCTTTTTTTCAAAGTCCAGATCTGAACCCACAACCTTCAGGGTTTACAAGTGAGCGTCCTGCCACTATGTCAGCTCCCAGAGGGAACGAAATGGAATCAGAGCAAGACTGAATGTAAAATGTGCACAAACAGCAAAGTCATCATCTGTAATCATTACCAACCAGCAATGATACACATTGCAGTCAATAATGTTTTCATAAACAAATAAACATCAATTACTCAACATAATTTACCAGGTCTAGCATGTTGCTTCCCCACCCCCTGATCTTTTTTTTTTTTTTTTTTTTTAAATCATTATCTACACATTCTTGCTGCCTTGCCACAAATGTTCACTCGTCTCCTCACACAGCTGCACTCAGCGAAGCCATATACCTTTACACATGCACACGGACATCACATTCTTTCACATGCTCACACACACTCACTTGAACAACAATTTATGTACACTTTAATTATACATCAAACAATATTCAAGGGCAAAGTTCAAGAAGCTGTTACAATGCTGCCCTTGTTTATCTTCACAACTCCATCACGTCAGACACATCTGCACTATTGCTTGAACATCTGGTGCTCACTCTCCTCTTAACCAGATTTAACAGTATTAAAACATGTAACATTCAGACTGCGGGTTCAGTTCCATTCACGACAGCTGTGTCTGGACTGTGCTTCTGTTGTGCCGAC